CTGGCACTTTGAACTTGAACTTAAAGCCTCCAAACTATAAGAGAATAAACTCCTGTTTGTTAAGGCCATCCCATTTGTGGTATATTCTTGTCAGAGTGGTACTAGCAGAACAATGCCTGTCAGGGATTTATATTTTTCAAGAAATAGTTGCAATATTATAGTTATTTATGAAATTAAGGTTATATTGTTCCAAAGCTTATGCACAGTTAAAAAACCAAAACCAGACCTATAGCTGTGGAGTTGATTTGATTATGACTCATAGCAACCTGCTGGGACAGAGTAGAACTGCCCCATAAGGATTTTAAGGTTGTAACTCTACAGAAGCAGACTGCCCCATCTTTTTCCTGCAGAGCAGATGGTATGTAGCCACTGACCTTTTGGTAGCAGCCTGGTGCTTTAAGTACTGCATCACAAGGCAAAAATTGGCAATAATTGTCCCTAAAGCTGATGTACTTCATGAACTTGCTCCAGAAAGACAAGACAGGTAATGTCTTTAGAAAATAATTTTCTGGCTATTCTTTCTAAAAATGAAAAGCACAATATCAAAAGAAAAATAAGGAAAACAATTAAGACCTGTTTTGTAAGTGAAATGCCAAAATCTTTGACGTTATTGGAGAGAATTTAAGACCAGAATATTAGTAAAATAAAAGTATATTAAAATAGAGCCAAGACCTAGGAAAAAAAAAAGTATATATATATATCATGGGTTTTAATTACATGTAACAATAAATTCATCCCACAACATCCTGTAGAAACTGCTGGGGAGCGAGCTCCTAAAAAATTCCCTCTGAACAAAGGATGTTAAATCAAAATTATTTCTACATATACCTGTAACTACTTAAGATACAGAAAATGGTATTGTCAGTCTGATTATTTAGCATGCAGGTTTTTTTTACTCTAGTTTTGTACACCCATATTCCCTTACAATCACACTTTTCCCTGACATTCACAGATAGTCAAAAAAATTTTCATAGCTTCTTTACCAGATTCAGCCCACCATCCTTATTATTATCATAGTGAGGGGGTAACAATTTAAATAAAACTACAGAGACCTGACAAGTGACAAAAAGATCAAGAATGGAAAAAGTTTTTGTGAGCTCATGTTTGTTAAGTATTAC